TCCCCCCCCCCCCCCCCCCGCCAGAATAGACCCACATTCTTTAAACATCTTACCCCTGGACCTTCCTATGGCCCTTCATGTCGAGTTATTTGGATTTTTCCCCTCACTGAAAATGTGTAGGTAGAAAAAAGTTACATTATCTCACAGAACCCCTCCATCAACTCCCTAAAATTGTGAAATTTTAATTCCTATGGTTGTCCCTTTTTAAAAAAAATATATATATAAAGCATTTTGGCCCTAAAGGGGGAAAAAAATACTGCAACGGAGGAGGAATTTGGAAGGTTGGGGGCAGCAAAGTGAAATCTCAGCGCTCCCTCCTCCAAGCGCACGTCTCCCCAGTCCTCCATTCTTCTGCCTGAAATCATCTCGTTTACAGAAAATATTTGTTTGCACTATTAGTTGGTACTGGAGTTAATTACTCAATGTGTTAACGTGCAGTAATATGTATAAAAGTAGGACCAGTGCTTATTGTGTGGGTGAGCTGTTGAGCGGTGCTTGAATAAACTGCAATTAGGGTTAGATAGAGATTAATTAACATGTGAGTGGCAAGGTGTAAAATAGTTTCCAACCCTCCACTTCAGTGTAATCTGCAGACAAGGGAAGGAGAAGTTTGTGGGAGCTAATTAAATACTTTCCGAAACGCCAGTGCATTCACCCAACCTTTGGAAAGAGAGGCACATTAGGAGCAACTTGCTTTTACCCACACGTTTCTTTCTGTGGAGGTAGCACTCCTTTGTGGTGCCGGGCAGGGGATGGCTTCTGCAGCTACAGAAAGCCGGAGGGATGGCGAGGCAGGTTCACGGGAAGCCTCTCAGCCTCATCCAGCTTTCAGACCAGCAGATCTCGCAAGCTGCTTCCGAGATCCACAATTCCCCAATTTGGAAAGGGGTTTGGGGTACGGGGCTGGTGGCTGAATGGGATTCACAGGAAAGTCGGGATAGAAATTCAGGTTCTGAGACTCTGTAGTGACACTGTTTCAATGCCGGGGTGAGTCGCTGGTTTGTTTCTTGTTTTGGTAGTGGTAGTGGTGGTGGGGGGGGGGGCGTTCATCTGTGTTATTGCTTTCACATTAACATAGAGGTGGGGGTACATTGGGTCTGAAACGCTGCCTCTCTGAGCACCGAAATTAAATGGGCTGTATGGACATGTTCCCCTCCAGAGGAATAAGCCCCTTCCTAGCTTTGAAATCTGGAAAGGGGCGGGGTTGAGGGGAACAGACCCGGGACCACAGAATTTGGGGGTACTTTCTGAGCTTGGCAGGATGAGGCATGAACCCACAGCAGTCCCCCTCTGGGCAGCGGTCCCTTGGAGACCTTTCTTTGTTCCTACTCCTTGCTCTCCAAGTACACTTTTCCTTTCCTAACCTACCCTGTGGATATCCTGTCTGAAAATACACCCAGAGGAGTGGGTAGAAAAAGAAGTTCTGAAGGGAAAAAAGGAGTGGTTTGCCTGAAGTTAAAGCTAAACCTTTCCCTGTCCCTTTCTCTCATGGTTTTCCTGGGATGGTTTGCAGCAGAGGCCTGGGGTGGGGTGCTCAGCTCCTCCAGGCCTTTCCTGGGGGAAAAGGAGAGGGTTTGTGTCCACCAACCATTTCCTGGGCGCCACAAAATCCTGTGTCTTTGGAGATGGAATTCACTGTCAAACCCTCAACCCTGTTTGCTCATATTATACCCACCATAATCCTCTTAAACTCTGGTTGCGGCCACAAAGCTGGTGGTCTTGCAAAAGCTGGCAGGCAAGATATAATTGTCCGGAAAACAAAACCATCCAAAAGTTTAAAAAAAAAAAAAAACACCACGCACCACTCCCCCACCCCCTCCTTCCCCAAACCTCATTCTCTCCCTCACTCTCCTGCTAGCCGGCCTCCGCCCCATAAGAGCCCTCAGCCTCCACCACTTTTGTTGTCGCCAGGAGCATCCCTCCTGTTGAAAGTGCCGGAGCGTCTCTGAGCAGTTTGTTGTGATACGCAGGTGGAATGGTCTGCAAACAGATGAATTCAGCCGCTCCAAACCGGGCTCGGAGCGCGCTGCTTTTGTGCGCCAGGCACAAAACGCTGAATTCCTCCGAACTTAGTTGGGGCCTGTCTAGAAAAGGGCCTTTTCTTCCCTCCGCTTGTACCTCTGGCCACACTAAGTCTCTCCGCCCCCCTCCAGGCCCCTTCCCTCTCCCCTCTGATAATCCTTCTCTTTATTTTAGAAAAACACAAAACCCGGTTCCACGCGGTGCTTTAGTGGCTAAAAGTGAAAGAGCTGCCTGGCAGAATGCAGCTCTATGAATCACTTCGGAAAATTGGTTCGACTGAATGGCCTTGGGAGGAAAAGCGTTTTAATAGGATCCAGGGGAGGTTCTGCTGTTTCAATCTGCTCCTTAAACAGGTGGAGATCGGACCTTCTCAATTATACAAACAGCAAGTACCCGTCTGCGAGGAGAGCTGCCCTCCGGATTCTCCCCGCACGCAGCCCTAAACCAACAGCAGAGCCGGGCTTTGCCGCCGACACCCGATCACAAATCAGCGATGCTGATCGATTAGGATCTCAAACAGTCCGCCAGCTGGCCGCGCAGCCTCCCGCAGCCGAAGGCAGGGGGCTGGCCAGGGAGGGGGAGGTGCCCCCGCCGGTCGCCCTGGTCCAGGCGACCTGGGCGCGCGGCCTGGCCCTTCCCGACGCTTCGGGGTCGTCCTTAGGCGGTGGGAGCTCGCTCCCGACCTCCGACGCCAGCCGAGGCCGGCTCGTTGTTTTTGCATAAATTAATATTTCCCCATTAACAAGTTCGCCCTCCAAACGCGGCGCTCGCGTCCATGCGCCACATCCTAATGAGGTAATTATCATTTGCGCGTGTTCGGGGCTGGCGCCGGCTCCGTGGGTAAATGGCAGTTTATTAGCGCGATGCCCAGCTCGGCTGCAGAGGGCGAAGGGAGACTTCGGCAACTAGATGGACACTCCGGGGCCCTCTGGGGCGGCGAGACCAGGACCCCCTGTCCTCCCCGCGTCCCCCAAACCTATAGGCCCCCAAAGTTGTGAATCACGCACGGAACTCTGCCTGGGTTTGGGCTCCCCCCCCTTTTTTTTTTCCACCGGCAAAACCATCACGATTCCTCCCCCTCCCCCTCCCATCTCTCCCCTCCTTCCCGATTCGCGAACCGCTCGCACTTTCCCAAGGGGGAGCGCGGGGCGCCAGTTGCCTCCTTTTAAAGTTTGAGGGGCGGTGGCGGCGGCGGCGGCCGGCAGGCGCGGGGGACACAGGGGCCGCTGGCGGAGCCGCGCCGCCGCCCGAGTCATTCCACTTGAAGTGACTTCATGTGATGTCAGCTGAATGTAAAAGACAGTGATCTCACGCGGAGGGGAGGATGTTTGCCATCAAAATGTGACAGAGGAAACGCGCTGCATGGCTCGGAAGGCATCTCCGTGGCGGTGGGGGAAAGAGGTAAATGCCTGGTGGCTCTCCGGTCCCCTGTAACTTGGCCCTTCGCTGTCCAGCTCCCAGCACGCGTGCCGGAGGCCGGGGTCTCGGGACCAGCTCGGGGGGCTTCATTTGAGGCTCTTTTCTTTCTTTCTCCCTTTCTCTCTCTCTCTTTCCTAGTCCTTTGTAAACCCTCCCCTCTCCCCCTTTGAAAGTCCCGGGCAGGGCTGGAGGGTTCCTTGGCGCGCTGGATTGACGGGCGGTAATTTGGTACCCTTGGGTGCACTTTGTTCTGCCCTTGTTCATTTGAATGCAAATGGATGACCTGGACCCGACTAGGTGCTTATTAAACGGCGGTTTCCCTCCCTGCCCTTTCCGGAATGCAGACTTAGAGGAGAGAGGCTGCGCCCCGGCCCAGTCTGCACGGCTCGGCTCGGAGCGCCATGGCCAGCTCGGCTTCCCTGGAGACCATGGTGCCCCCGGCCTGTCCCCGAGCCGGAGCGTCACCGGCCACTTCCAAGACGCTGGCCTTCTCCATCGAGCGCATCATGGCTAAGACGTCGGAGCCCCGTGCGCCCTTTGAGCCCCGGCCGGGGGCCCTGGAGGCAGACAGCGGCCAGGGCAAGAAACTGCTCAACCTCTGCTCGCCGCTGCCCTGCATGATCCCCCTCCAGCCCCTGGGCTACGACATGCCGTCCAAGACGCTGCTCAGCTACTCCGAGCTCTGGAAAGGCAGCCTCCGGGCGGGCGGCGGCGGCGGCGGGGGGGCTTCGGTGTGCGGCGCCAGCGGCTTGTGCAAAACCAACTGTGGCGTGTGCTGCAAGGCCGAGCTGGGCCTGGCGCCGTCCGCGCTGCCCGCGGGCAGGGTCATCAAGCCGCAGGTCATCAACCACGCGGTGGGGCTGCCGGCCAGCGCTCGCTCTACTACTTCAACTACCTGGACTCCGCCGCCTACCCGCCATCTGAGCTTCTAGGCGGCCACCTCTTCCCATCTGGCCTCCTCAACGCAGCACAGGCCCCCCGCCGCCCTGGCGGCGCACCCCAAGCTCTTTTTGCTGGAGAACGCCAAGTTGGCCGGCCTGGCCGCGGACAAGTTCCCCCACCCGGCGCCCTACGCCCATAAGGAGCGCCTGCCCGCGCCGCTGGAGCAGGTGCTGAAGGAGAACTCGGCCCTGACCGCCGAGCGCGGCGGCGTCAAGGGCCACGGCAAGCTGCCCGGTGCCTCCGCGGACGGGAAGCCGAAAAACTTCACCTGCGAGGTGTGCGGCAAGGTGAGGCCTGGGGTCCGTGGGGTCTGGGAGGTGTGGGCAGCGGCAGCTGCTTTCTCGGGGATGCCTGGCACTCCCCTTTCTCAAGTTTAGGAGCTCCCCAATAGCTGTCTACTTCAGTCTGGGGGCCTCAGTTTCCTGTTCTGTAAAATGGGGCTGCCGTGGTCACTGGCCACACACAGCTGGCGAGAGCGGAGGGTTGGGAAGCCCTTGGCAGAATGAAAGGGGCTCTGGTTGCGGGGAGGGGTGTCGCTTGGGCCAGGTGAGCCGTGGCCTCCCTGGGCTGATGCGAGGTCGTCCCATGGACACACCACAAGGCCCCCTCGTGTCCTTTCATAGGTGTTTAACGCTCACTATAACCTCACCCGCCACATGCCGGTCCACACCGGAGCCAGACCGTTCGTGTGCAAAGTCTGCGGCAAAGGCTTCCGCCAGGCCAGCACGCTGTGCAGACACAAAATTATCCACACCCAGGTACGTGGCCCCGGGTCCAGCCTGGCCCGCGCGCAACACCCCGCGCCTGAGCGACGTCTTTGGGGAGAGGATGGCCAAGGGTTCCCCGTCCCCCTCTCGGAGAGCCCGTGCCCCTCCAAGGGGCTCCTTCCAGATACCCCCGAGGTGGTCTTTCCCTGCCCGGCACTCAACCTCACTGTGTGCGCGCCCCTCTCCGCAGGAAAAGCCTCATAAATGCAACCAGTGCGGCAAAGCTTTCAACCGCAGCTCCACGCTCAACACGCACATCCGCATCCACGCGGGCTACAAGCCCTTCGTCTGCGAATTCTGCGGCAAAGGCTTTCACCAGAAAGGTACCGTGCGGGGCGAAGCCCTCTGCTCTTCTCACCTGGGGTGTCGGCGGGTCGCGCTAGCGGAAAGGCAAAGAGATCCGGCGAGAGGGAGCGAGCGCCGCCGGCTCGCGCAGCGTTTCTTTGGAATCGGGTTGCGCAGGGTTTGGGTGGGAGCTCCGGGCTGGTAGTAACCTCGCTGGAGTCTGGTCGGTGGCACGGAAACTCTGCATGTGGGAGCCGGGGCGTGAGGAAGGCAGGGGCAGAGGGGAAGAAGGTGGGAGAGAGAGTGTTGCCTTACAGAAGAAGGTTCCCTTTGTAGCCGGAACTCCCCTTTCTAATGAAAAAAAAAAAATCTAGGCAAAATCCACCACGTGGGAACGACTTAAGACTCGGGGAAACCGCTACTCTCCCCAGAACCCCAACCTCGGCGCTCCTCTTGATCTGCCAGAGCATGTCGGCGGTCCAGGCGGTAGCTGGGGGGCAAGAGGGCGTAAATCTTTTTAATGAGAAGGGGGGGAAATGAGGGCCGAAGCCTGGGTTCGAGAGAATTTCTTGGAGCGAAGTAGCAACCCAGACTTGGACCCCATGTCTCCCTGGGGGCGCGAAAGTTTCCGGGCCGGCCCAGCGCAGCGGGAGGGACGCGGGGCGGGCCCCGGGCCCGGGGGTGGGGGGAGCGGGGCTGAGGCGGGGGCTGGGCCGTCCAGCCAGTCCTGTGAGCCGCGGGCTTGACGCTGACGAAGTTTGACAACTTCTTCACTCGGGGGGTCGCGCCCGCTCAGCCCAGCGTCGCCGTCTGAGCGCGGGCACCTGAGCCCTCCCCTTGCCACCCCATCCCCGAACGTGGTTGTTGTCGGTCTTTGCAGGGAACTACAAGAACCACAAGCTGACCCACAGCGGCGAGAAGCAGTACAAGTGCACCATCTGCAACAAGGCCTTCCACCAGGTCTACAACCTGACCTTCCACATGCACACCCACAACGACAAGAAGCCCTTCACCTGCGCCACCTGCGGCAAGGGCTTCTGCAGGAACTTTGACCTCAAGAAGCACGTGCGCAAACTCCACGACAGCGCGGGCCCGGCCACCCCCTCCACCAAGGACCTGACGCGGACCGTGCAGAGCTGAGAGCTACGGCCTCGCCCTCCCTTCGACCCGACCCAACCCCCAGACAGATCACACCTATAAACTTATGTCTAAAATTAAGAGGGGGAAAAAAAAAACTATAGCAGAGAGGCTAAAGTCTATTTATCGAAACCAGCATATTTTTGGAAAGTTACACGTTTCCTCCATGACTGGCAGCAAGCAGCGTGGCTCCCACCTTTGTATATTCGGGAAACTTATTTAAACCCTGTGCGCCGAAACGTATTTAATGCCGGGCCTCGGCGGCTCCTCGGGCGGCGGGGGTGACGCCAGCCTGTGATTTGGACGCCGGGGAAGAGCAAGGCGCCCTCCGCCGTCTTTCTACAGCCATGTAAATCCTCCTGTACATCCGGACACGGAATATATGCATATATGACTCAATAAACAGATCGTTGTGCGCGTTTTCTTTCCCGCCCCCTGTCCCCTCACGGCGCGGTCAGCTCAGCAACGCCGAAGAATGAGAAGGAAATACACGTTTCTAGCATTTCCCTGCCCAAATGCGGCTTCCTCCAGGACGCTGGGACCACTGTGAGGCCAAACCGGTGTTCCTACTGCGCTTGCGCACTAAGACCCCCCCCCCCCCCCGGCGGACCCCCCACCCAAAGCTTGGGGGAAAAGGCCTCCACGTGATGAAATGTTTCTATTTTAGTGACTGTTCCGACCCCTTGGAATTCTGGGGGGTTGCTTTATTTTGGATGACTTTTTTTAAAAAAGGG